TTATCCTTTTGGGATGTCGAAATCACTAACAATGACGTGATCCATCAATCCCGACCACTGGCTCACTTTCGCAAAACCAGAAAAACAAATTATTACAGAATACCAAGATTCAGAGATTCTTAATGATTTGTTAAAACAAGCTCTTCCGCTAGCTAGGCTCTCTGCATACTGGCAAAACAACAGCAGTACGATGGCTAGTACGCTGTTCTTCTGGCTCGACCTCGGCTATCGCCTGCTGCACGTCGCATTGGCCCACCGCCGGCTAACTGTTGCTGTTGCTGAAGTAGCAGGTATTGCTGCGGTGGCGGTAAACGATCGTCGAAATCACCACTGGGACCACCGAAATCACGGCGCTTGGGACTCAGTCGCGCGACACTACTCATTCGACCGTCTATCACTTCATTGATGTTCGGCATCCATGCTCGTTGGGGCGCTTGGCTACCTTCGAATCGTCCATCATAATCGACGCCCTGAAAAAAAAGTATATTGTAAATCATGCCACCTATTTAATTTTTTTGCAACACTACTAACATCGTCCCCCCCCCCCTATGTCTACAGTGATTATCCGCGCGATTTTGGTGTCCATGGTATGTATTTATTAAGTAGACGCACAAATAATCGAAGCCAAAGTCATAAATGCCGTGATCATCAAAGTTAAAAATTTTTTAAAGTAAAATAAACAAGGCTGAGAAAACAGGAATGCATTATTCATCTTTTTCATAGACTGGTTAACTCAATGAATAACTGAACATTAGACATTCAATATTGCCATTTGAAAATGATTGAATCAAAAACGAAAATCAGTTCCACTGAAAAAAACTCGAAAAAAACATGGATTTTCAATCAAAATAAGTGACTAAGGAAAATGAATTTTTTTGACTAAAAAAGAACAAGTGAATTATTTCGGCACCATTCTACGCATTCGCTTGATTTTATCCAATAACAACATAAACCTGTTGCTTTAGGGCAGTCTGTGCACCGCCAAGCTGTGGCCTCCTTCGTGGATCACGCACTTGTGTCCCTAGCGTAACCCCTCCCGACGGCCGCTCATCGTTACTGTTTCTGCTCAGATTCGGCCTTGATCCGCCTCGCCTCATCCGAGGATCGTGTATCGGCACTTCGCCTAAAAACCTTCATATTCGTATCTGATTCGGAATCTCTTGATGCCATTTTGAGTTTAAGGGAACATTGCATTATCTAAGCCTTGCACTTCAGAAGGCAAAAAGAGATTGGCTTTTAGTGTCCGGACTAAAATCATTGGCGACCCACATCAGGCGGGTCTTTGCGATTATGCATCTTTGCAGTATTTCGTGCTGCAGTAAGATTTTGGAATCCTAGTAGATGGAATTTGTGACCTCGAAGTTCAGAAAGTTAATTGTGCAACCACGCGGCACTTGAACAGTAGACATCCCCTCAAAATTTCAGCTTTGCTGTTTCTCTGGTCCCCGAGTTAGCAATTTTTGCGCCAAAAATTTTAACATGCCCATATGCGAGAACCACGAACCCTGGGGCTGAATTTGAAACCTCAAATTTCTACATGGGCTGGGGATATCCTCTCAAAATTTTTTCGGCCTCCTAGCTTTCCGAGTTAGCGTTTTCCAACTTCTGACGAACTCATGCGCATGACCCAAACGTGCGTGAAGGCTGGTACCGTGGTCCTGGACTGGGAAACTCACTGGCAAAATTTTAGCACCGGATCTTGCTTGGTTCGAGTTGAAATACCTGAACGGATGCACGCACACAAACATACACACATACGCATGCACACCATGAGTCGCCACAATATGCGTTTTTGCATTTACATATGTGCAAAAACGCATAAAAATGGAATGGATTTTGGTGTTCGAACAAAGAAACGGGACCGACTGATATAAGAACGAACGAACCTGTAGCAGCATCTCTTGGCAATTCATCGGTAATTGTTGGCTGACTTGCCGGGGAGGGGTTTGCTGGCCGCCAACTTTGTGTTTGCGAAGACGATGACGAAGGTTGCTGGTTTCTGAGATCCACATCACCTGATGCTGACGATGAGGTACTGGGAGTTCCTGGCAGCATAGGAGGTACCGGAAGTGGCGGAGCACCAGTGCGATAGTCAATATCCTAAAAAATGCTGTGTAAGTAAGATCAAAACACAAAAATTCAATTACAGACCGAATGTAGATGCGATAATGCCTTTTTTGCGGTTCAATAATTCTTTTATATGAACGAAATGTTAGCTGGTTCAGATGAATAGAAAATTTACCTGATTCTGCGTAGAAGTTGCAGGAGCGGGTGCAATGTTAGCTGGAAGTGGCGGTGGCCAGATCAACGGGCCAACAACTGGTGGCATCGGTAGCGGCGGGAAGGGAATACCAGCAGCAGCTCCTAATTGCGCGATTGCTGCTAGTGGTGCTGCAAAAACATCATTTTTATGATTAATTCACAAAATGCAAATAAGCTATAAGATAATCAAAGAAAAGAAACAGAACTTGAGAATTTACGTGGGTGATCCATCATTCTTTCAAATATTATTAATTATTATCTTGGAGGTATGCAGTTTAGGATCGAAGAGCATATTTGCGCCCAGTGTGTGCGAACATCCCAATAAAATCACTAAGATAGGATACTCCAGGCGATTTTGGTATTTTTGGCAAGGAAAAATCATTTTTGATGTAGCAGTACTGCTGGCATAGTGCTAATTGTAAGGAATAACTACTTATTTTTCGTCTTCCAAATAATGATCACTGTCACTCTTCCGCTTCTCCTGCCCTCCTCTCTGCATGTTATCAGTGCTATCCTACCAGTTTATGAGTCAACTTGTCAAACTTCTCACAGCTGCTACTCTAAAAGCATCCAGTCGGTTAGCAAGCATCCATTTCAGATAACCGCAGAAGTCCAGCGAAAAGCCAGCAAAACTTGCAAAAAGTATGCGCCGCACGCGGTATCAGGGTCAGGCAGTATAAAGTAGTATATATGCAAATGAAATACATACAGATTGCTCGTGCTCGAGCGGAACACGACAGCCTGTAGTGTAATGGATAACTTGTCACGATTCGAAGGATCCGGAGATAATGAAAATGAGTGATTCGGTTCTTTTCCCGGTCTATACTCATTTACAAAAAAAGACCTCTTCGCAGTACAGTTCCCCCCCC